CCTTCAGCCAGTGTATCCAGAAGGGTCTCCTTGATAATTTTCTCCAGAGTCTTACCAGGGATTGAGGTCAAGCTGCTTGGCCTGTAATTCCCAGGATCTACTTTCTGCTCCTTCTTGAAGGTGGGTACCACATTGGCCTTCTTCCAGTCTTCAGGTACTTCACCTGAGCACCACGAGTCTTTGAATATTTTTGCCAATGGTTGGGCTATGACACCTGCCAGCTCCTTGAGTACCCTAGGGTGTAATCTGTCAGGACCAGCTGACTTGAAGGTGCCCAGCCTCTTGAGGTGACCCTTTACTAGATCAACACTAATGCTGGGTATAAATACACCCTCACCCTGGCCGTCCCACATCTTGCTAGACAGGGTGGTCCATTGGACTGATGAAGGACCAATGTGAAGTACCCCCTGAACTTATGGATGTGGCTCTGAACTTAGAAGAGACCTCTAGGATCTAATGCAATCATAGAAAAATGGAAAATTGGGGTTGGAAGAGATCTCAGGAAGTCATCTAGTCCAATCAAAGAACCAACTAGATCATCCAAGCCAAGGCTCTGTGTACCCAGGCCCTAATACACTCTAAGGATGGAGTTTGCACAGTCTCTCTGCATAGCCTGTTTTAATTACCTCCTCAAAAGAAAGTTCTTCCTAATTTCTGACCTAAACTTCCTTTGCTGCAAACTGAGCCTTGCTCCTTGTTCTCTCATCTGCCACTGCTGAGAACAGCCCAGCTCCATACTCTTTGCAACCCCCCTGCAGGGAGTTGAAGGCTGCTGTTAAATCCCCCCTCCATCTTCTCTTCTCCTGCAGTGCACGTAATAAGAATAACAGAAGGACAAAGCAACAAGACCTCCATAGAGGACTAGCTGTGCACCCCAGGTAGATCACCACCCACCTTGCAGCCCGTACTGGTGGGCACCTCTCCGGCAGCCTCAAAACTGAAGTGGACCTTCAAGGGGGAAGAGGCAGGGCTTGCAATTACCCCATTCATGGCAGCAGCAGCAGGCTGGAGAGCATCTATCGAGAACCCCCAAGGGGTGAGCAGCACAGCCCCTCACATCCCTCCACCTTTTCCTCTGATGCCAAATTGGGGAGGGTGGGGGGAGGCTGAGCAGCAGCAGTGCTCATGCCTGGGCTCCAGAGGCATGTGGCTCTGGCAGGAACCATCTGATGAGCTGGTGAGTTCACAGAGCTCACTGTGCAGGTGCTACACAGCCATGGAGGAGGCAAGTACAGTGCCTGCACCCCTGGATGCACCCCTGGGCAGCTCCGGTAGTCAGAAGAAACTAGCTGAACTGGCCACACTAACACTGTCCAGGCCAATGACTGACTTACCTTCCGAAGCACGCCGGCCAGGTTCCTACTCCCATCCGTGGCTTGCAGGAACTCTCTGCAAAAGGTCATGGTCACGATTTTGTTCTGGATACCCAGAACACCAATCCCCCTGAGTGGGAACATCACAGGCTGTCCATGAATCATCAGGCGGTAGAAGTAGAGGACAGTCTCCCTTATGCAATCTTGTATGACCTTCTTTTTCAAGGCAGTCTCCAAAGATAGAGTCGTTACGTTCAGAGGAACAACTGGATATTCATCTAGAAATCAGTAGCCAGAGGACACAATGAGATGTGTATAGGTTAATGGACAAGAGCAGCAATAAGGCACACAGACGCTACTTCATCATAGAGATGGCTGTGGATAAGTTTATCCCATTTTGCAGTCTTGGGGTATCTTCGGGGAGAAGCTGGGACCACGCGAACAGAACTGAACAAAGCCTCACAATGCCCTGGGATGTCATCCCACCCATTTAATCAGCCATTGCGGTATCTGACCTGTGTAACACCTTCATTAAGAAGGATCTCAGCGCTGTGTAGAAACAACCTGAAGCTGCCTAACAAATAGTGATGGACGTCAAGGGAGGAAGAAAAGCATGCCACGTCCATTGGATGAGGACTGGAGTTTCAGGTGAACGTGGAGCTAGACTATGGGTGTGGAGACCTCTCTGATACAGTGAAAGGGGGCCACTGTTAACACCAAGGAGTCAGAACTTGAAGTTTGCAACTCATTTAAGAGATGCAGCGTTGAACTTCTCCACTGTTTTTCTGCCAATGTAACTATGGACGCTTTCACACATACGAGCCCAGTAACATGGGGGAGAGAATCATGCCTGGGCTGCATGGATTTCTTCTATAAGATCCCCTGTTTCCTTTAGGAGGGCAATCTTTTTTTCATTTGATCCAAACCAGGTGAATCAGTATAATCCCCGGCATGGATGACAGCCAGATTGATGTACAGGTGCCCAATACACCACCATAAATGAATAAGAGCAGGTCATACCTATAAAGCTCTACCAGGAGAAGAGATCTTTGCACCACACCAAGTGCACCCACAACTCGGGCGCTGCACTGACTGAATCACACCATTTACCAGCATGTAGTTAGGGCGCTTGTACACATGACGGGGGTTTAGTCCTTCGTGTCGAATTCTATGCCCCTTAAATTGAAGCGGTAAGTTTTTCATTGAAATGGTGGGTTTTATTTTTCCGTCACTGTATATATACTGTTGACCTGACGGCCTCAGGTGCCTGCTGAAGGCAGAAACGGCGAAGGACCCGACCTGCTTTTTTTTCAGTGGAGTCTGCCTGCACCCATGGGGCCATTCATTTGTGCCATTAATCTGTCAGCTCACTCCCTGGCCATGGGAGAGGCGGGCAGCCTCTGCAGAAAAAAGGATCGGGCCCCCCCTCCACTTCTGCCTTCAGCAGGCTCCTGAGGCCGGCAGGAACTGGCTCCACCTGGGAATGGGCTGGCTGATTAACACGTGCAAATTCAGCATCATGATAATTACAGGCGTGCACGATCTTGGGGAGTAGAAATGAAAGGGACATTTCAAACAGAGTTGGTCTAACTTTAGACCTCATTTTTTAAATATATGCAACACTAGCTTTAAAGGCATACGTTCTTGGTGTTTTCTGGGTAGAGTCTAAGCTGTTGTTGGAACAAACGGAATGAATTCTCTGTTGTATCCGGCCCTGTTGTTCTTACATACTTATAACAAGATGAATTACGATTAAAACAGGCTATAAATGCATTCTAAAGAAAGGCAGAGGCTTTAATCAGTCATCTTACCAGAAGTGTATGTTTTTGATTGTTTCAGTCCATAGGCCCGAGAAAGCGTCTCAGACAAGAGAAACACAGGTCTTTGTATTGCAATAAATCTGTTGCCACCCAGATCTAGCTTTGTTCGGGCTAATGAGAATATTCCCAGTCCAGGGACATTGGCACCCTGAAAAAAAGAAACAATAAATATTGAGGGTAGGAAAAATTGGAGCTGATTTGTCATGTCCCAGGTTGCATCAAAGCATTGTGCTGGTGGTGCTGGGCTGATCTCTTCACACTTGTGTGTTTTCCTGTGCAGAAGAATCAGTTTGGATCCACTTTAAAGCTCGGTGGCATTATGGAATATTTCATAGTTTTCTTCTCTCTCTTGCATACACAATTTTAAAATGGATGTAGTGACATGAGAGTCAATGAGCATAACACAGAGGAGTCCCAAAGAGTTTACAACCAAAGGGCTTGTCATTACTAAGGCTGGTCTAGATGAGCCCTCCTCCTTACTTACAGGAGGAGTGCCCTGGGCTCTAGTATAGACTGCTTAGTTGAGCAAGGATTTAATAAAACACGAGTTACTTTGTTAGACAAGATCATTAAAAGAGCCAAATGAAAGAGCAGGACTTACGCTAGATTTCGCCAGCATCTCTCATCAAGCTGATTGGCTGGTACCAGCCTGATGGGAGTGGAGGTATTTGCCATCTTGAGGAAGGCTATTTTGTTTTCTTTTAAGTAAGATCACTTCTCATTTAAAAACAGATTACATGAACCACATTGGGTACATATGGATACAAGAAGAAATAGCGGAGAGCCCCCACCTTGTCCATGGAGAGGTTCCGGTAAACAAAATTAGATACTCCGACCCAAACATTTCTGATTTCTAAAATGCAAGCGAAAGATATGTCACATTCTTGATGAGAAAACACAGATTAATTAATGCACTGCATTCAGGAGGAAAACAGTCCCCTGATTTTTGACCAGGGACATTACAAGACCCACATATAATCACTTCACACAGGCATGGGTGAATTGGGTGGCTGTCTAGGGCCTGGACAGAAAGGGGGCTTGAAAATGAAAAAAAAATATTACTATTGCAAAAAAAAAAAAAAAAAAAAGTTTTAATATTGCACATATATGGGACTGGCGATGTTATCAATTGAGAACGAGCTATTTTAGGACATTGATACCACAGATGTGATAAAGACTTTTGCAACAAGTCCAATTATTATTATCATAATCTCTGGAGAAGGAGGGCCTGCTACTAAAAGTTTGCCCAGGGCCTCCAGGAGCCTAGATACAGCACTGCACATAGGATAAATACATCTTAGGGAGCAATGGAAGTTGATTCCTAGTAGCGGTTTCAACTGTGTTTTCATTTACAGCCTGATTTTGCTCCCAATTGCTTTTAAAATCCTCAGGAAATGTGTGAGGACAAAAGCTGGGCATGTTACCAGGAGCCGTGTGTCTGCAGTTCAAAACCCAGTTCACCAATTTGTAGGGGGGGGGGGAAAAAAAAGTAAGTAAAGAAAATCAGAGAAACAGAATTTCAGACCCCACCCAGCGACAGATTTTCATGCAAACAGCATTTGGGACTGCTGTTTCTGGCAACGTCGTTGTAGCCCAGCAATGGACTACAGGAAGCCTACGCTTTAATGGAGGAAACCAACCCAACAACTCCCTTCTTTCCAAAACGAGGCGGTAAAATGCTACCCAGTCACTAAGGAAACTCCCCAGTTGAACATCGACTAAAAGGCTCGGTAGAGGGCTGGGCTACTGAATGCCCTGCCATTCCCAAGGGCAGAGACCTCCAACACAACCCATATTTTGGCGCACATAAATCCATCCAACCTGCTTCTAGTCAATATTTTAGCTGAGAAGTTTCTGGCACATGCACCAAAAGAGGAGGAGTTAGACTGGGCAAATCTCCACCTGGAGACAAGCATTTCCTCCCATGCTATGAACAAGGAAAGCAAAGCCCAGCTATCAAGGGACTTTTGTCCAAGGGCTATGCAGGAGATTGATGGAAGATTTAGGAGCTAGATTGAGCTAGCAGGAGTCCTAGCTACAACATCTTGGCCTTAAGTCACAAATCCTGACTTAAGAGGTGGTGAGGATTTGAATTATGTAGCTCAATAAGAGCCCTAAGTATTCACAGGATCAGAGTAGTAGTTTGCACCTTTGAATAGGCTGAGCTGACAGCAGCCTATAGTGAAGGCTGTTAAACTCTTCATATTTGTTTTAGCTGTAGCAACTCAA